ATTTATCCAGAGTTTGCAACATCATGACATCCAGATATGTATATAAGTGGAAATTTGTGAAGGTAGGTACCGAGAACGTTAAAACCATCCGTCTCAGACTTGTCCTTTGTGGATTTATGGACACTGAGGCTTTCGATGTGGAAACCTTCTCGGGAACCGCTCGAAGGCAGTCCCAGAGACTCCTATCAAGTGAGGCGGCATGCCATCCAGAGTGGATCTTAGCATCCATGGATATCGACAAACCGTTCCTCAAGGGTTTGACCTATGAGGAACTTGCCCATGCCACCGGCGAGGGAACTCGCATGGTTTGCTTCACTCTTCCACCGGGAAGTGCCCAGGTACTTCGTACACTGCCCGGCTTTTCATCCTATGACGAAGGCCGACGCTGCCTCAGGTGCCTCAAGCCAGGAACGGGTACAAAGGACGCCCCAAGAGCGTTCCCTCTCAAGCTTCGTGCGACCACACGAGCTATAGGCCTTACACCGACAAGTTATGACCCTGAGTTTGAATTCAGCCAAGATTTGTTAACGGCAAAACATGTCGATGACATTAATATGGCAGGCCTAGAGAAAAATCTAGACGACTATGTGCAACGTGTCGAAAAGGTGTCTGGCACATGCAAGCTTAACAAGCACTCATATACGAACTGCGCCGTTCGCTACACTAAGAATGACCAAGGGGATGTGATCATGGATCAGGACGAGTATATCAAACAACTACGTCCTATCACACACCCAGAACTTACATGAGCGGCGGCCGATGCCAAAGCCACCAAACTCATCACCGACATGTTCGTCAGCTTGCGAGGAGCCCTCGCCTATGCCCTTCTTGCTCAAGTCTGGCTCATGGTGTACGTGGTATCTCTTCAGAAAATCCAAGAGCCCACCAACCTACAAGTCAGACGACTGAATGCTGTGACGCGAAAGCTGATCAGCAGCCCGAAACGCATCGCCTTCCCTCGGATGAAGCCGACGAATGAAGTTGACATACACAGTGATTCGGGGTATCGGGAGCTCACCGGGGAGGGGGGCGATGAGAGCAAGGGCTATGGCATACGCGGGGCCAACGTACTACGGCGAGGAAACTCGCCCCAAAGCAAATCCGTCGTTCACCTCTATGACGGACTATGCAAATCACACCGACTGCAGGTGGGGTCCAGCTATGCCGCTGAGGCACTTGCAGCTGCACGCAACCTCGGTGAGGGTTACCCTACGCTCATCACTCTCCACGAGCTCAAGGCAGGGGCTCCGACTCCACGACAACTACGAGATATGCGTGAAGTTGGGGGCCTAGCTATTCAAGTATCCCTCACCATAGACGCTGAGTCGGTATATAAATCGCTATCCTGCAAGGATCTTAAGATACCGACGGAACGGACCTTGCTTGGACATATTAGCTGGATACGTGAGCTCATGGATAGGTATAGGTCTAGTGCATAATGTGCAGTGGTGTGATACTAGAGATATGACCGCATATGGGCATACAAAGGGGAGCATCGTTCGGGAGCTGCTTTTTTTGAAGTGATGTCAGGTAACCAGTCATTTAAGTATGACGTGAAACAGTTTGTTCCCTTCTGGGGTCCCGAGGACAGAAACAAGCCTAAGTCTAATCAATTTTAGTCTGTCCTTGTTGCCCCCGCGGTCCAATTTGCCAGCATGGGCGCCTACCACAGAGGCGCCCATCTAGGTGCTCGGAAACAAGCCTTACATTTCACGCCTGGTAACGAGCCTGTTTAATGTGATTCAGGCTCTTTGCCTTAATACCCGTTTGTTCGGTGAGGTATGGCCCGTTTGGCTTACCTCTAGCCGAGCCGATAGCCCTTTACCATTCAAGGGGCTGTCTCGTATTTGCGTGAAGTGCCTTGCGAGGAAACTCGTCTTACAGTCTGGTGTTAGGCCAGTCTGTACGCATTGTTTTCTTGCAAACAGTTGCGCGCGCGGCCTTTGTAGAGCCTAACGGCTGCGCAGCTATACTCTCCGTCTCCTCCCCTCCCGACTTTAAGGGTAGCTTTTTGGGAGATGTTATACATAATCGGGAGTATAGCTCGCGCGCCGTTGCCTTTGGCTCAAGGCACGCGCGCCTTGTTTGCCCGGACACTGACCTTAGTGTTCGCTATGTCTTGGAAAGATCATTACATCGATCTTATCTTATCTTATCCGTCCATTCCCCATACTGAACCACCCCAGCAGGGCAATGGACGCTATCTGCCGTTCGATTCCCATGGGAGCGGATGTTATTTGACTTACCATAGTCACTTTCGACTTTAGGGTCGTCTTGGAAGGCTCTTGGGCCGCCTTGGAGCTTTCCTGGGGGCCTCGCAGGCCGTGTTGGTACCATCTTGGAGGCCTCTGGGGCCGTTTTCGGCTGTCAGAAGCCCGGCAAGGCGAGAGCACAGGCATGGTCAAACAATCTTAGGGCGATCGATGCTTTTCGCTTCTTTGGCCCTCCTGGAAGGCCTCTTGGAGCCCCCTTGGACCGCCTGAAGGTTTCTTGGACCGTCCTGAGGCCGTCTTGGACCATCTCGTGGCCATCTTGGGCCGTCTTGAAGGCATCTCGGGCGAACTTCGAAGCTTATTTGGCCCCTCTAGGGCTGTTTTTGAGGCCATTTTGGACCGTCTTGGGCCAACTTGGACGCCATCTTGGCCGTCTTGACGGCTATATTAGGGCAATCTTGGAGGGACATTTCCTTACCTCTCACCTTTTATGGTGCCTTCCGTGAAGGCCATTGTTTTTTTGATTGTTTAGAACAGTCAAACACTCGGCACACGAGGCATCCCTGTGACAAGCACAGGGGGCGGCTGATCGAAGACGCCTACGGCGAATCACCGCTGCCCCCTGCCTTTTGGACTCGCCTATGTGGTCGAACGTTGTGGTTAGAGCTCGGCCAAACTATTTTATTCGGTGTTACCCCAGCCGTTGTGTAACCGCTTCGGAGAACGCACTGGGGAGGCATAACATTGATACTCATAAGCGCAATGGTATTAAACGTAGTAGTTCTTTTCTGCTAAGGCGAACAAGGGTTATACAATGAAACAGAAAACGCATAAGACGAACAAGAGGAGGATCTATCTCTTCGGACTTTCCTGGAGGCGCTGTCGGAGGTCTCTTGGGGGCCTCTCGGGCCGTCTTGAGCTATCTTGGAACATCTTGGGTGTAATTTGGGCCGTGCTTGAAGCATCTTGCGGCCATCTTTGGGCTCTCTCGGGGCCGTCTTCCTGGAGGCATCCTGGAGGCCATCTTCGGCCATCTCGGCCGCCTTGGCGCGGAATAACCGATGACCTCAGGACGCCGCGCAGTTGTCCGGGGTGCCTGGCGGGATCGGTCGGGACCCCGCGGGGAACCCTTCGAAAAACAGGGGCCACGTGAACCAACCATCCAGCACGCCGGGCGCCCCCGTGGCAGGACCACAAGGGGGTGGCGGATCGAGGACGCCTGCGGCGAATCACCGCCGCTTCCTGCCTTTTGGGATATGCCCGTGTGGCCAAGCGTTTAGGCAAGGTCTGGGCACGCTGTTGGACCGTGCGTTCCCCCAGCCGTTGCTGAAGCCCTTCGGGTATCACGTGAGGGAGGACGAGGAGGATTAGGAGAGGGAGGAATAATGGAGGATGAGGAGAAGGATTGGGAAACCTCTTGGAAGCTTCTGGGGTCATTCTTGGAGCCTCTTGGGAGCTTCCTGGCCTCTTGTAGACCTCTTGGGTGCCTCCTTGGGCCTTTGGGGGGCCTTTGGGGGCTTCTTGGGGGCTTCTTTGGCAGTCTTGCGGCCGTCCTGGCCCGTCTGACGATGTCGGAAGCCGTCTTGGGAGCTTTTCTGGGCAGTCTTGGGGCCCTGTTGGGGCGCTTCACGGTCGTTTTGAAGGTCATCTCGGGCGTATTGGAGGCCTCTTGAGCCGTCTGGGGGCCCTTTTGGGGCCGTCTTGGGATTCTCTTGGGCCGCCTTGGGGCCATCTTGGAGTGCTCTTGGGCGATCTTGGGGCAACATTGGGAGGCTCTTGGGCCGTCTTGGGCTGCCGGAAGGCCGTTGTAAAGCAAATGCCAACATCTTTCAACAATTTAGCGAAATTCAATGGTTATGGCCTCTTCGAGACTTCGTTGAGGACCTCTTGGAGGCTTCGTGGGCCGTCTTAGAATCCTGTTGGGTACCTCTTGGGCCGTCTTGGCTGTCTGGAGGCCATCTTGGGGCGTCTTTGGTGCATCTTGTGCCGTCTTGGAGACATCTGGCCGCAATATTGGGCTTTCTTTGGATCATCTTGGCCGTCTTAGATGCCATCTTATCCGACTCGGAGGCCATCCGAAGGCTAGTTTGGAAGGAAAAACGATGGATTGTACATTTTCCCGGGTTTTCCGGGTAGCCAGCGGGCTGGGCCGAGACTTCACGTGGAGTTCTTCTGAAAAGAACACAATACGAGCCAGACGTTCGGCACGCCGTGCACCCCTGTGGCAAGACCACGGGGCGGCGGATCTAGTAGTTTTCGGCCCATCCTGCCACTGTGCCATGGTTGTAGGTCAGAGGCCTCATGGATGCTGGTGGGGATCTCTTGGGAGGCGGAAGCCTCTTGGATGCGGTTTTGGGATATCTTGGGAGCCTCTCAGGGCCTCTCGGGGGCCTCGTGGGGCCTGATTTGGGGGTCATCTTGGGGCGGAGGGCTCGAAATGTCGGCTCGTGTTCCCCCTCTGGGGCCCCTCTTGGGGCCCTCTTAGGCCGTCTTGTGGCCTAGTGGGCTGCCTTCGTGGCCGTTTTGAGTCGTCTTGAGCCCCTGGTGGGGGCGGGCTCTCTTGGGAACCTCTCGGAGCACTCTTGGGGCATCTTGGAGTGCTCTTGGGCCGACTCGGGGCCCTCTTGGTCCGTCTTGGGGCGCTCTGGCCTCCAGAAGTGGTTAAACTCTGGCTCTACAATGGGGGAATTTGGGGTCCAGGCACCTGACTATTCAGGCATTCGGGACTGAGGACGGAGGACTGAAGGGACCTGAAGATATTCCATTTCGTGCCTCGGGGCACGGTGCTGGATTTCTGTCTCATGGTGTCGGTAATTGTCGCTGCAGCTGCGTTGGACCATCAGTGGTTGAAGTGTTGGCACTTCTTGCTCTTTGCAATATTGCGCGTCCCCTTCGGGATCTTCCTGGTGGAGGCAGCTATCGTCGGAGACGCCCAGCACCTCTTCTCCATGAACATGTGGATCGAGACTGCACGCCACCAAGGCACGACCGAGAGCCCTGCCTGCGCGTCCGCCGAGGGCCAGGGCCTGCCAGGAAGCGAGGGGGTCGGCACCTACAGTCGGAAGGCGGGCTCGGGACTCGGACCCTGCGAGACTGCGTCGGCGAGCCAGGCGCTCAGAGCAACCGGTGTCTCGACGCACGTGGTCGAGGCGGTCGGCACCTACAGGCTGGTGACCAGCCTGACCAGCGCCGCCTCCAGCGGCGCGCCTGCAGCGGCGCTCTGCTACCCAGAGCAGCGGATGTGACTCGGGCCCGCCCTGTTCCCTGGGACGAGCTGTGCGATAGGTCCGTGTCTGAGTATCGTTTCACCGATCCCTATCTTCGTCGGTTTTCGCCGGCTTTCGAATGTTTTCGTTGCGTCTCGGTGGTTTTTCAGACTCGGGACGCTCTTCAGCCAGCTGCGCCTCGCCGAGAGCGTTCCGGGGGTGCCTGGCTCGTCCCAAACCGCTGCCCCATCTCTATCCCCATCCCGATCCCCACGGAGGCGGAGGAGGAGGAGGAGCAGGAGGAGCAGGAGGAGGAGGAGGAGGAGGAGGAGGAGGAGGAGGAGGCAACATGTTGCTCATGGAAGTTCAGGCGGGGAGCCAACGGGCGGCTCAGCGTGCTGCCTTTGCTCCTTTCCTTCGTGCTGATCCTGAGGGCGGTGGTCGTGAGCTGCCTGTGGGAATCGACGAGGAGATGCCCGACGGCGACGACAGCTTCGACGACTCGTGGGCTGACAACGACAAGATGCAGCAGGTTGTCCTCGCCACCCTGGACAACACCGACATGGCCGAGGACATCACCGCGGCGAATGGTGTCCAGCACGAGCAGATCACGCGCATCATCGACGACGTGGCGCCCCCCACGCCTGAGTCCTGGCGTCATGGCTCTCGTTCCCCTCGCTTGGCAGAGCGCGAGCGCAGGCCGTCAATTTAGCAGTGACGAAGCCGCCGTGCGGGCAGCAGCACCAACATATCTCGAGATTGGTTCATCGGTACTTCCAATGTCACCGAATATTCCAGCCTCGAGAGGGCCCCAAGTGGGAATTATGGTTTTGATGCGCGTGTCGTTCAGGAGACCCACAAAGGCTTGAACACCGATTATCAGGAAACCTCCTTTCGCCGCGATGGGTGGTCGGCCAAGTTTTTGAAGGCGGTGCATACCGAAAACGGACGTACCTCATGGGGGATTGCTTGCGTTGGTTCCAACGGATATTGACATGACCTTCCTGGATTCCGAGCTCTTCGAGATGTTCCTGGACGCTGTTCGGTTCTCCGTGTTGGGGGATGCCGTTTTTTTTTCCTTGTGTAATACCTACCTTAAGAACGGTGACAATCCCGCCGACTTTAATTGGAGCATTTTAGCGCGCTTGGGTGCTATTCTCAAACGAGCACACATTCCCTTCATCATAGGCGGTGATTGGAACACCAAACCAAGTAAGTTGGCCTCCTCAGGGGGGGCCGCTGCGCTTGATGCTACCATAGTGGCGCCCAGCACTGGCACCTGCACACCTGCTGGTCCCACGATCGATTTCTTCGTGGTCTCCTCTGACCTCTTGGATGAGCAGTCCGTCAGGGTCCTCGTGAAGATCCCCACTGCCCCCCCGCTCGCCCGTGCTCCTGCGTATTGCTGCCGCGCCCAGCGAGGTGCAGGTGCGCATGATCAAGGTCCTTGGGCGCGTTTCAGTTGCAATCCTTATCGGTTGCGAGGACGAGCCAGATAACAACATCTGGGGTCATGCATCACAAGTGATCGCAGACACAGGCTCGATTGATGCCACGTGGGATGCGTTAATCTCCAACGCTGAATGGGCCTCTGTGGTTCCCGAGGCTATCGGTATTGGCTGTCTGGTGGAAGCAAGTGCATTTGGCGCTTCTGGATCTCTGCAACGCTCAGTATCAGGTCCCCGACACGTTCCGCATGTGGGTTCCCAGCATCAATAGGCTCCGCAAGCTCTCCAGGGCCCATGTATTGCCTCATGGGGACCTCAACGTCGGGTGGGCTACTGTCTTGGGCGTCAGTGAGCAGGTCCCTGCTGACCTCATAGATGTCCTCAAAGGATGGACCGAAGAGCAAGCCCTGCACCAACACCAGCAGTCTGCCAGGTACAAGGGGCGACAGTGGCACGAGTGGATCGACACGCGCTCGGCCAACTGCGCGTCCACCCTGTAAGCTTGTTCCGCGCTGCCTATCGAGCGGCAGCCAGCAGCTTCGGATCGATGCGCGCTGCGCCCAGCCAACTCCTGCGGGCAGGTCGACAGTCTGCAAGCTGAGTGGGAAGAGTGATGGAGCGCACATCGTGCAAATCAGCCGCCGGGCTGGCCCGATTCCCTTGGAGATCGCCCCCTGCCCCCTCGGTTTCGGAATTCAGAGCTGCCCTTCGTGCGTTCCCCATCAGGGCAGGCGCAGGTTTTGATCGGGTTAGTCCAGGAAGTTTCTTCTTCCTGCCAGATCGCGCGATCCAGCTGCTTTGTGGCGTCGTCCCGCGCGTCGAGCAAAGGCTCGGGTGGCCGCAGATGTGCAGCCGCACCGTAGTTATTATGAAGGGGGCAGGGGGTGTCCGACCCCTTGGCCTGCTCCACATTCTGGGTCGAGAGCAGTGTCGCCTACGGCGACCGATGATTGCAGCCTGGCAGCGTGGCAATTTTTGGCGTTTCCTCTGGGCCGCCAAGAGGCAGTCGTCCGAGATTCGTTTGGATATCCAGTGCCTGGTCTGAGTTTTGCATCGCCCAGGGGCAGCATGCAGGAACGATGCTGCTCGATTTGCAAATGTCGTTTGTGTTCGTTCAGCGCCGTCATCTGCTGCTGGCTGCTATCGTCTCAGGTCTTCCTTTGTGGCAGCTTAGGTTATTGATCGATGTCTGCCGAGCTCTTCGTCTTCTGGGCCTGCAAGGGGTGCGCGGCGAGTTTGTCTGCGTGAAGGAGACGGTGGTCCTTGGGTGCGCGTTGGCTACGCTTATGTTACAGTTGCTGCTCCTAGGGCGCCCGGGCAAAGTGCAAGCTGCGCACCGCTCGGTAGCGTTGCCCGTCAACGTTGGCGATTCCGGTCTCCGGCGCTTCGGTGGCGAGGAGCGTGTGGGAGGCGAGCTCTGTGGAGCTGCTTCGCTTCTGGCTAGTGAGCTGGCCAGATTGGGCGCGCGGCTCGCTGTGGGCAAGAGCAGAGTCCTTGGCAACTCCAAGGCGCTTCGCGTTCGCATCGCTCGCGGGCTTCGGAAGATTGGCGCTCTTGCTGCGGCGACGGGGCGCAATCTCGGAGTCGACCTTGCAGCTGGAAGAGCCCAGTTCAGGCGCGCCACCGAGGCCAGGTACATTGTCGTCAATAACGCGTCGGGGCCGCATGTCCGCTCGGTAGTCAGGGCCTGCGCGCGGGGGGCTACTTGGGCAGACGAGTCGAGCTGCGCTTGAAGGGGCCACCTCGTGCGGCACAGCGGTCGCGGGTGTCAGTGAGAGGGGGCTCGAGACTTTGAGGGGCCTTGCGGGCAAGTTGCAGGGCCGCAAGCAGTCATGTATGACCATCGCGTTGTCCCTGATGCCCCCCCCCCCCCCAGGGAGGCCCCCCCCCCCCCCCCCACCCCACCCGCGCGCGCGCGCCCGCCCGCCCCGCGCGCGCGCAGCAGGGGCCTGGGCCCCGTCATCAGAGCCACCTGGTTGGCCGTTAAGTTTTTGCCTCGCGCGCTTTCGCGAGAAGTTGTTGCCCGAGCATGTCCTCCAGAATAGCCTCCTGCAAGTGGGTGCTTGCTTCGGGCCCCTCGCGTGCCCGTGGAGCTCTGCTGCGAGACCCCTCGCCACTCCTTGGGCGTTTTTGCAGAGAGTAGGTGTTGGGGCCAAATTTCTGGCGGGATGGATATTTCAGGAGGATCGTGTTCTGACCATGTCTGAGGCCTGTCCCTCGGTTGCGCAGCAGCGTGCGCCGCGCGGGGTACACCCGTGGCAGTGCAAGGAGATGGCGGAGCATGTTGGAGCGCCTGAGTTTGCCGGCGGTGTGCACCTTGCCCATGCCCCCTTCCTTTTTTTGCGCTTTAGAACGCTGCCGCAGACAAAGGGTTCTGCCATCTCATGTGTCGCTGGTCCGCAGTGGCCCATGGCGAAGCAATGGCAAGCCGGCTATCCCGTGGAGCCGTGCTGCCTCGCGTGCTTGGCTGTGGGCACGCGCGCGTTCGGCGCGCTTTTGCGCAAGCGCTGCGTGTGCGCGCAGCACGCGCTCACGCTCGAGTCTCCGCGCGTGCCGTGCACGCCCCTTGCTGGCGCTGTAGAGCAAGGTGGACTCCCGCAGCTGCTAGCCGAGAAATGTCTTGTGCCGATGCCGTGTTTTGAGCGCCAATTTCACCCCGACCTCCTACAATCCCTGTGGGTCCATTGGCATCCTGGCCTGCTCTCCGGGGACGTCTTTCTGGATGGCTCGTGCTTCGAGGGTGGTTTCGGACCCTGGGCCGCCGCGTGTGTGTGTGTGTGTGTGTGTGTGTGTTTGATAAGGCCGCTGTCTTGTGCGGCCTCATTTTGTCTGAGGTTGAGCTGCGCGCGTTGTTGCATTGCCTCAGGCACGCATGCCACCCCATTGTTGTGCGCGCGTATCCGAAGTATGTATTCGCCGGTGTCACTGCGCGCGGCAGGTTTGAATGTCTTCGGCTGTTCAGCATGCGTTCCTTTTTATGGCGACAGGTCTGGGACAGGCTTGACGATTGGGGGTTTGACGGGGTGTCGTCGCCGTCGGTGCCCATTCGACCCGCGCCGATGTTGATGCTGGCCGAATGGCCAGCAGAGTCGAAGTCGGCAACGACATCGCCTACGCCCACTCCAAATTGGCAGCGCAGGCCTTCTGACTCCCACCGCCTCGCTTCTCTGCGCTGCAGGCCCGCGTGGGGGTGTTGAAGTCCTGGGTGCAGTGGGTGGCGTGTGTAGGGGGCGTGCTTCTTGATTCCTCTCACGCTCCCCCCCCCTTCAGAAGCGTCGTTTTGGTGAAGGACCCCGTGCCCGCGGATTTGGTCTCCAGGGCAATTGCGACCTCCAGGGAATTTCGGGTCCACGGCAAAGCCCCCCTATGCCCTCGCCCGTTTCAGACTCCATGAGGGAGTCAATCTCGTTGGTTGCTCCCGATGTGGTGTGCTTTCGACTGCTCGACTTGCCTTGTTCTCTTCTCCGTGCGCGGGGAACCTACCCGCGTGGGCCAAGAACATTTGGGGCAGGTTCGATCGTGGCGAATGCAGGCACATCTCGTCGAGCGTTTCGCGTATCCCCAGAGTTGTCGAGGTCCGCTCAAATCTGAGTTGATCTTGTTTTTGTAAGGAGTTGCGGAGTCCATGGCTCTCCATGTTTTGCCCAGGAGGAGGGGGAGGAAGAGGATAACGAAGAGGAGGAGGAGGAGAAGGAGGATAGACGCCTCGAACCTAAGGGAACAGCCCATATCCACACGAGCTCGCACGCAGGGCCCCGAACGAGTAGAGGTGGGGGCCCCGGCTTCAAGCTGCCCTCCCTTTTCCCCTGGAGAAGGGGGGAAGATTCCAAAGCTATCTGCCTCTCATTCCTTGGGTCGGCATTTTGTAGCTGGGGAGGCCCCGGCTGAAATGGGGAGGGTCTTGGAAGTTACCCCCCCTCTCCCTTTTCGGGCCCCGGGGTGAGCCACTCCCCTTTCCAAAGGGGGTCTTCCGAAGGTACCCCTCCTTTTGTTTGTCTGCATTTTGTAGCTGGGGGGTCCATGGCTGAAGGAGGGGGGGGTTGGAAGCTGCCCCTTCTCCTCTCTGTTTCGGCCCCCGGTATGCCCGGGCTCCGGTTTCCACAGGGGGGCTTCCGAACCTATCCCCCCCTCCTCCTTTTTGTCGGCATTCGCAGCTGGGGGGGCCGTGGCTAAAGGGGGAGGGCTTCGAAGCTACCCCCTTCTCTCTTTTTTCTCTCTCCTTTTTGCCGAACACTTCTGCGTATGTTACTCGTTTTGAATAGAGCTGTGCGCGCGCGTCTCCTTCCTCCCCGATTCTCTCCTCCTTCCCTCCTGCCTCTCACCTCCCCCCCTCTCGGGTCCAGCCGGCCAGCCTGCCTTTCCTGTCCTGCCTGCCCGCCTGGCTTCTAGCTCACCGTCATACGTTACCTCGCCGTCGCTGCGGGTCTGCGAACTGCAAAACTGTGGCCAGTTTCGAGGGCTGCTGGGGTGTCCAACGGAGTGGCGTCCTACGCGGATTCAGATTCGACCTCGCCATCCCTGGGGGGCTGCGATCTGCGAAGCTGTCCCCACTTCCGAGGGCTGCTGGGGGGATCAACGGAGTGGTTTGCAACTTTGGCCTAAATTTGACCTCGCACTCCCTGGGGGGCTGTGATCTTCGAAACTGTTGCCAGTTTCGAAGGCTGCTGGGGGGTCTGGTGTCCCACGCAGGCTCAAAGTAGACTTCGCTATCCTTGGAGGGGCTGCGATCTGCGGAATTGTCGCCACTTTCGAGGGCTGCTGGGGGTGTCCAGTAGAGTGGGGTTCCACGCGGACCTAAATTAAACATTGCCATTCTTGGCGGCCTGTGATCTGCGAAACTGCCGCCTGCTGGGGGGTCCAGCGGAGTGGAGTGGTTTGCCCCGCGGACCGAACATAGACCTCGCCATCCTTGGTGGGCTGTGACCTGCGAAATGCCGCCGCTTTCAAGGGCTGCGGGGGGGGTCCAGCGGAGTGGTGTCCCACGCGGCCCTACATTTAATCTCGCCATCTCTTGGGGTCTGTGATGTGCGAAACTGCTGCCAGTTCTGAGGGCTCCTGGGGGTCCAGCGGAGTGGCGCTCCATGCTGGAGTGATTTAGATCTCGCCATCCCCGGGGGGGCTGCGATCTGCGAAACCGTCGGCAGAGTGACGTCCCACTCGGAGTGAAATTCGACCTCGCCGTCCTTGGGGGGTTGCGATCTGCGAACATGTCGCCACTTTCGAGGGCTGCTGGGGGTCCAGCGGAGGGGCGTCCCGCGGGTCCCGAAGACCAGGCGCCGCGCCTGCTGGCGTTTAGCTCCCGCGCTGCACGGTGCAGGAAGGAAGCTGGGAACCTGGTGGGCGAGGTCGGCCTCGCTCGTTTCCTGCACTTGCCATGAACAGCTGGACCTTTGCAGCGCCAAAGCGACATGGCGAATGCCGCGCTGCTTGTCGTGCGTGCCACCGGGAGATGACCGCCACCCTCTTTCCTTACCCTGCTTCTTTTGTTGTTGTCCTCTTCTTATTTCGCCGTCTCGCTGTAGATGTCGCGTGAACTGTTCGGCTCCTCTGCTGTTCTTTTCCTTCGGGGGGGCTTCCAAGCGCCCTTCCTTTAGCCGAAGGTGTAGCGGGGCTCCCCCCTTTTTAGCCAAACAAGGAAGGGTAGCTAAGCCGCATGTCGGACCTATCCCAACCGACTGGTACCAACTGCAAACATATGGCCACTTCTCAAACGGTCCAAAGCAATCAACTACTGTCAATCACAACCAGCCATCTTGAACCGACAATTGGGAGTCTACTTGTGCAGCATTCGGAAACTGTCCAAACATACATACACGTTGTAAACGTGGATATTCACTTTGGGAGTCAGCACGAGTGCCCCGGTTGGGAATGGTAGTGTTTTAGTTTCTGACATCTTGGAGCTGTGCTGTGCTGAAACGAAACATCGGTCGTCAATTTAATTGAGCTTTGCGGTTGGTGTATGGGAGCCTGGCTGTGTTCGCGCAACAATTGCGTACAGCTTCGCGTTACGTGGCGTTCATGTGTGAGAGTTGCGGGCACTCCAACAGCGGGCAGTACCATTCTCGAGACGAAGTGCGGGGACCCAGCAGCAAATCAGACAACTCCTAATACACGTGAGCATTTTGGATAGCAGGCGAAACCAGAAGGCAGGCCTCATGTGCGCAAGTGGCAAAACGAGCTGCGAATAGCATCCAGCGACATTTGATAGTAAGTGATTGTTTGCAGTGTGTAAATGCAATGGGCAACTCGCTGATCCCACCCCCCCGCGGAATTCTGCAATACCCTTTCATGCGCATTCCACCTGGAATGTCATAGGACATGCGCCAGCCATAGCCTTCCGCCGATATGTTACATCTTCTATGCGCTTCAATACGTATTATAATATGTCCTTTAGCTCTCGGGAGGCGGCAAAGACAGGTAGGGGAGAGGGGGGGGCCTCAAGCGCAGCTGGCTGGCTCTGGCAGCTGCGCGGGTGCAGGTGCCATGGCCTGGGCCCCAGGCGGCCTGGCCTTCGCACGCGTGACCGGCGGAGACGCCGGGCGACGGCAGGCCATCAACGTGGGAGGGTTCGTGGTCGAGGTCCACGAGGCCCACATCTCCCTGGCGATCCCCGCGCTCGCAGCCCGAGCCGTGGGGGGCGCCGCCTACGAGGCGGCGGTACGAGACAGTGCAGGCGACGAGGTGCAGGTGGGGTTCGTGGTCGTGCCCCAACGGCGCCTTCGGGACGCGGCGCCGGAGGGATGGGGGGACGACTACATGCATTTCGGCGAGAGGAGGTTCGAGCTCGAGGCGCTCCAGGCAGGGCTGTTGGCGGCGGGCGGCGGCATCCACACGTCCACCGAGGACGCCGAGGCGCCGAGGCCGCCGCCGACGGAGACGCTGGAGCAGGGCGCGCCCGGAGGCGGGGCGGCCGCGGCGGCGCTAGGGCAGCGGGCGCTGCTCCGCGCGGCCGGAGCGGGCGCAGGCCTCCCGGGCCTGGAGCAGCTCGTCGCCCGAGCTGCGAGGCGGCTGCAGTCGGCGGCGCCCGCCCCCGGGGGGGACAGCTCATCGGAGTCGGAGGCCGAGGCCGACCCGCGCGACGGGCGCGCGGCGCCGTCGGCCGGGCACGGACCGCGAGCCGCGGGAGGCCGGAGCGAGCGGCGGCGCCTCCTCTCGAGCAGCGACGAGGAAACCCCGCCCCGCGCGCCCGCGGGGCAGCAGGCGGGCTCCAACGGCGGCGGCGCCACGGCCGCGGCGGCCAGCCTCGACCCGAACGGATTGCAGAGCCTGCTGCAGCTTCGGATGCTCGAGGTCTTGGAGCGGCTCGAGACGGGCAAGAAGCAGAGCTCGTCGGGCGACGAGGACGAGGCGATCGGAGGATTGGGCAGCGTGGGGAAGGCAGGCAAAGCCGTGCGCGGCATGAGACGCCTGCGGCGGCGGGTCAAGCGCCACCCTCTGCGAGTGGTGCGCGCGTTCAGGGCCGAGGTCAAGCGGGCGCTCGGTGTGCAGCACGGCATGGCCTGGACATACCTGGACTACGGGAAGAGGCACATCCCGTGGGGCAAGCTGTACGACCTGAAGAAGACGTACGCGATGCTGGTCGCGGTCCTGGAGTACATGGACAACGAGAAGTTCGACGAGGCGCATGGGCAGCTGGTGCAGATCATGAAGGCCCTGGAGCAGGTGGCCATCAACCAAGGCTCATGGAAGGCGGCTTGGCCGCTGTCGGGCCTGGTCGACCCCTACAGCCGGCGAGGCTTCGCGGGGGACGAGTTCGAGACGGAGGTGGTGGCGGCCTACATCACGGAGCTGGAGGCCTTGGAGTCCAAGGTGAAGCAGCGTGGCGGGCTGGTGGCCACCCCGGAGGAGTCGGACGCCCAGGGAGCCGACGCGGGAGCCGGGGCCCACGACAAGGGCCCGAAGAACAAGTTCAAGAAGAAGCCCAAGAAGGAGGGGGCCTGAGCGGGCCGCCCCCTTTGAGGGCAGGTGCGTGTCTGGGGAGATGGGGCTTCTGGCGCTGCGGCCAGTTCCTCAGAGGCACGCCGTTTGGGAGGTTTTGGCATTGGCACCGCAATGCGACACGCAAGTGCGAATCTACCCTGGACAGTGGGCTGTCCAGCTCAGCAGATCCTGAGAGTGCCCCTTTTCCCCACCACTCGGCCATCCGTCTTTCTGCCGCTTCGTGGGAGGCTGGCGCTTCCTCCTCTTCTTGCTTTCTCTGCGCGCGTCGAGGCGAGCTCGGCGGACCACACCGTCCCATACATGAGAGAGATGGAGACTGACGCAAGCCCTCACACGCCCCGACAGAGATTGACCGAGTTTTACGTGGGTCCCAGATTCTCACGAACGTGTCTCGCCTGCCAATCGTTCTCCTCACACTGTTTCACACGTGCGTACGAATATGGCAGCGGCAGCCTACCCTGACCTCCGCTGGTCTCCTGCACGACGGGTGGCGGCGGAGAACCTCTTTCAGGATGTGTTCGAGTTTTGCCGTGCTGCTGGACGTGACGCTCACGCAGCACGAGGACTGGGGAGGCTACAGAAGTTGGCTTCCGAATTAGCATCTCTACCCGGTGAGGCGTACGAGCGGCAGCAGCGCCCAGATACCGAACCTGGTGGGGATATGCAAGCAGGACAGCTGTCGGCGGACACACTGGCGCTCATATGGCAACGGACCCTTCACATTCTCTCAGTTCTGAGAATGTAGATACCCCCCCCCCCCCCCCACCCCCCCCCCCCCCCCCCCCCCCCCCCCCCCCCCCCCCCCCCCCCCCCCCTCTTTCTAGCATGGTGTAAGACCCCTGGGACAGGCTGCGTCCCGCGACCCCACCTGACGTGGCAAGCAGCTCGCGGAGTAGTCAGCTAACATGGACCGCTGCTTGGCTCCCGAGTGGCTCCCGTGCGCCTCGTGCCCGGCGCTTGCCTTTGCCAAGGACGGTCTCGCACCTACCGCATCTCGAGGGATAACGAGCTGAAGCTGGCGAGGGACCTCCTGGAGCGCGGGATGGGGACCCTCGTCCCGGCCTGCGACGTGCCGCGCGACAAGGCTGGGTGCCCTCTGGCGTCGGGCTGGTTCGCGGTCGAGCACAGCGAGAAGTGGGACCGTTTGATTCAAGATAGGCGCCCTCAAAATGCGACTGAGGAGCGCCTCGCCTGGCTGGAGCTGCCGTCGGGAGAGCAGCTGAAGTTGCTGAGGCTGAACTCGCCGTCGGAGCACGTCAGGGGAACCGTGTGCGACCTGAAGACTTACTTCTACCAGGTGAAGCGACCGCAGGGCACGGAGTCGCGGAACGTGGTCGGGCGGGCCTGGCAGGGCCGACAGCTGGGGAAGCTGGCCCCGGACCCGCACCAGCACTACTTCGTGGCGCTGACCGTCTGGGGCATGGGCGACGCCAACTCGTGCGACGTCTGCCAGGAGACGAACGTGAGCATTCTTCGGAAGAGTGGGTGCATGACGCCTGCCGAGTCGTTGAATGCCCAGCTCACTGTGCCTGTCGGCAGGACGTGGGAGGGCAACTACCTCGACGATCACTTGACCGTGCAGGTGTTCAGGGACAGCGAGCGGGGCAAGGGCCTCCGCGACACGGAGATCGGCGAGCGGGCCAAGCAGGCCTGGGAGCAGGCCGGGCTGCCTCGCTCAGTGGAGAAGGACGTTATCGAGCAGCCCGACTTCACCGCCTGGGGCACGGAGGTGAGAGACGGGCCCGGCGAGGTCGGCAGCCCGCTGCACAAGCGGCGGATCTTGGCCTCGCTGACTTTGGACATTCTGGAGAGCAAAAAGATTTCAAAAGGGATGTTCAGAATGCTGCTTGCAAACTACGTTCACCCATTCAGCCATCGTCGCGAGCTCTTTGGTTGCTTCCATCGTTCGTTCACATGGCTGGAAAGCCTGACTTCCGAGCGAGATCTGGTCACAATTCCCGCAGACATTCGAGACGAGCTGTTCGCCGCCGCCGCCCTCCTTGCCCTCGGAGTTGCTCACATCCGTTGGCCCGTGGACCCCGAGGTTTCGGCGAGCGACGCGACCGAGGACTCGTGCGGGTCCTGCACGGCGAAGGTCCCCAGTAAGGTCTCCAGGGCGCTCTTCAGGGTTGGGGCTCATAGAGGCGAACACGTGAGGCTCGACTGGAACGAGATCGACCAGGTCCTGGCTCCCACCAGGATGTGCAGGCCCTTGAGTGACATAAACGAGGCCTTCGCGAGCTTCGACTGGAAGGTGCAAAGGGGAGGTAGGTTCACGAAGCATAGTCACATAAATCTTCAGGAGATGCGGGCGCTGAAAGGCGAGATCAGACGTAGAGGTTTCCAGAACATCCAGAAGGTGCTGAATGAGGTCCCTGGGGCTCCAGCGTTTGGGAGTGCAGCAGGTCTTGGGAGTTCGGGCCGTCCTGGGCGTAGGGCTTCGAAACAGTTCGACGACTCGAAGGGCGTCTCCCGGAAGGTCGTGAGCGTGATTAGGGGCTCGGACCAGATCGACGACTCGAACGGCATCACTGAAAGAAGACAGGGGAAAGAAGCTTTGAGGGGTCGGGAGAGTGCAGGGACCACGATCGTGCGCGGGGTCGACAGCCGTGTGTGTGCAGGAGCGTTCGGAAAGGGGCGCTCATCATCGTTCAAGCTAAATGGCATTCTGCGTACCATCATGCCCTACCTGCTGAGCTGCCGTTGCCACGTGGCTCTAGTCTGGATCGGGACACACTTCAACCCGGCGGACGCCCCGTCCAGGTTTCGGCCGCTGCCAGAGCCTGGCCCGCCGCCGGCCTGGATAGAGGCCAGCAGGCGCGCTGCGAGCGCGGCGGCAGCTCGCGCCGAAGCCAGGCGGGCAGCTAGCTCGCCCGAGGCGCCCGCGGCGGGCCAGGGCACAGTCGGGGCAGAGGCGCCCCCCGAGGGCGTCAGCGCGGAGGAGGCACCCCGCCCAGTCGGCGCTGCTGCTGGCCCGTCTGCTGCCGAGGTCTGCGCCCCGCCGCCGTGCAGCCCGCTGCCCTGGGCTGTGCCGGGCGGCCGTGGCAGGCGCTGGCAGAAGCGGGAGTACTTTGCTGGGAAGGGCGAGGTGACGAGGGCCTGGGCTGCCGCCGGGGGCTGGATCGAGCCGCCGCTGGACGCCTACCCGCCCGAGGGCTACAGGCCGGAGCACGACCTGCTGCTGGCGGCGAACGTGAGGCGTGAACTGGCTCAGATCCGCGCCCATGCGGTGCGAGTCGGTGTGTGGGCGACGCCGTGCACGACGTTCGGGCTGCTGTGCCAGAACTGCGGCCCGGGGACGCGGACGGCTGACCGACCGCAAGGCGACGGCACCCGGCCCGCTGAGCGCCAGGGCAACAGCCTCGGCCTCACCACGGCAGCGGGCTGCACCGCGCTGGGCGAGGAGGGCGGGCTGCGGGTGGTCGAGAACCCCCGCCGCTCGTGGCTGTTCCGCCAGCCGGCCATGCAGCGACTCGCGGCCCGTGCAGGCGTGCACCTCGTGGAGTGCGACATGTGCCAGTTCGGCCTCGCGCCGCCCGACGAGCCGGAGGCGAGGCACAAGAAGAGTACCTACCTGCTCGGCAACTTCCCGGAGTTGCGGAGGCTTGGGAGGCGCTGTCAGGGCAAGTGCAAGCACGTGCACCTCGAGGGCGCGGTCAAGATTGCAGGGCGCTGGCAGAAGCGGGCGGCACTGGCATCGGCCTACACGCCCGAGTTTGCCCAGGCGCTCGCGGCCGCGCTGGCTGCCGCCGAGACGAGACTTCGTGGCTCGCCGATGCAGGTGGGGCCGCGGGGTGTCAGCTATCTTTGACAGCACGCTGGGCTTTCCTGGCGAGGGGCCTGCTACGGGTCATCCTCAACGGCGTGATCTGCAGGCCTCGCTGCACGGGGAAGCCCACGCTGGGAGGCTCGTGAAGGCAGCGGACGAGCTGACCGCCTACGGCCGCTCGCACGGCTGGGGCCGGCTGGATCGCTGGCTGCCAGACGCCTCCCGAGGCAGAGTAGTCAAGCGCCTGATAGAGGTGATTCAGTACTTGTTCAATGAGAAGAGACCGATCGCAGAAGCTAGGTGTGCAGTATTGGCGGTGCAGCAGCGCCGCCCTGACCTGAGAGGGCAGCTGGGCGGGGCTTGGGACTCAGTCAGGTCCTGGGCCTTCGGCGAGGACTCGCAGACGCGCACGCCAATCCCGCGGGAGATCCAGCGCGCGCTGCGGAGGTGGGCGTTGGCCAAGGCTTTGCTCCTGTCCCGCCCGCCGAGCCTGGCGCTGCTGGAGCACAGCGTCTTCGTGCGGGTGGCCATGGACGGGCTACTGAGGCCGGGAGAGGGCGCGAACCTTAAGGGCATGCACGTCCGCTTCAACCGCAGGAAGTCTTCAGACCAGGCTGTGCTGGTTATCGAGAGTCCGAAAAACAAAGCTTTCTTGGGCAAAAGACAGACAGTATTGCTGACGCGCCCCTCCACCGTGGCCTGGCTTCAGTGGTGGATGCATCGAGTGGGGCCTGACGACCCAGTTTTCCCTTCTGGCTACTCGGGCCTCCGACAGATCCACGTAGGCCTCGTCAAGCAGCTTGGGATCCCACAGTTCACGCTAGCGGGTCTTAGAGCGGGAGGAGCGACCGAGCTGTTTATGCGCACCAGAAATATTGCTTGGGTAAAGTTCCATGGGAGATGGGCTTCAGAGCGTTCTCTTGCACACTACATCCAGGAGGCCAATGCTGCCGCAGCCTTGTTCGATCTCGAGCCCAGCATTGCCGAAGTTTTGTGCCGCATTCGAGCAGAGTTCAGCTGCTTGGATGTCGGCCCGCCCTGCATTGGATAAACCCTCGGCAGCGCGCCTGCGCCAGTCGGCAACGGTCATGCTCGACGCAGCAGGCAAGGTCGAGGTATCAGCAGGAAAGATAGCGTTCGGAGAATCAGTTGCAGCAGTCTTTGAAGGAAAGCAGGAATACGCGAAGCAAGTGGCTTCGCGTCAGAGTCAGTCGTATCCATTGAAAGTGTTACGTGCCTACACCCGTGCAATGCATGCTTTGGAGGAGCTCGGCGCCATCATGCCAGAGACGTTGTGCGCAGGGCCTCTTCGGGATGGCGATGAAGCGGGAGGCCCAAAGGAGGCCTTGATCGTCGCAGTCCCGAAGCACCTTGCCAAGACCGTCACCTCCGGCAAAGCCGAGCCGCCCGCCCGCTACGGGCTGGTTCTGTCCTGGTGGGCGTCTGCGGGATCGTGGTGGGCATTGCTGCGTCTCCTCTGGCTGGACGACTTCGTCCAGAGCATCTTCGACGGGAGGCACTTCAAGTCTCTGACCTGGCCGCTCCTTAGTGTGTTCGCGATTCTGCTATTCTATAGGCCCGACTGGATCGTGGACGGTCTGGCGAGTATCTTTTTCGGAGTCCTTGAGCATGCAGCGGACCGCTCGGTTGCGAGTGTCTATCGGTTGGGCCGTCGCAGTGCAGATGCAGTTACTTCGGCGGCTACTCGTACCCAGGATGTTGCCGAGGCTGTCGTCGCTGTGTTCGAGAACGCCTCGCTCGTCTGGGCGAACCTGTCCGATCATATAGAGCAGATGGCGGAAGTGGTCGGCCCAGCTGTGACGTCCGCGGTGGACGCCTCGGTTGAGTTCGTCGACCGTGTCTTTGACAAGACCGCCACCGCCGCTGCCGACAAGACTGTGGAGCTGCTAGATGACCTGCCCGAGCAGCTCCAGGCCGGGGCCGTGGATATCGCCACCACCATGGCGTCTGCAGTCGTGAACGTGCCGCCGGCCCCGACCCTGGCACAGCCGACGCCGCCAGTCACTTTGCAGACCAAGAAGGGTGGCTGGGTAAAATATGCAGTGACCCTCATCGTGGGAGCCTACCTCCAGCGTCGGTTTCGAGGTTGACTTCAACCCGCGCGCCGAGCTGAGGGATCCACAGCTTCGTGTACCGCGGCTTCGCCGTTGTGTGGAGCTTTGCTCGCGCCCGCCCGCCCTCCCGAAAGGCTGGTGGGGTTGGCAGTTGTGATTTTGAGATCGAGCCAGCTTCAGAGTGTGCCTGCCCGCCCGGACAACGGCCGAGCGGGAGCAGGCAGTGGCAGCAGCAGGCTCGTGTTGGGATACCTTCGAGGACTAACGCACGTGTGTCGCAAAAGTGAGTGTGACACACGTGCGCTTGTAATCTGTCGCAGCCCTCTCGGGCTCAGCTCCGCCGCAGGGGCCCCCACCCAGTCTAGCCAGACGAGAGCTGCCCTTTAGCTCTCGGGAGGCGGCAAAGACAGGTAGGGGAGAGGGGGGGGCCTCAAGCGCAGCCACCTCCACCCCGACCGCCATCCCGTTTTTCTTTTTTCGGCAGTTGTGATTTTGAGATCGAGCCAGCTTCAGAGTGTGCCTGCCCGCCCGGACAACGGCCGAGCGGGAGCAGGCAGTGGCAGCAGCAGGCTCGTGTTGGGATACCTTCGAGGACTAACGCACGTGTGTCGCAAAAGTGAGCGTGACACACGTGCGCTTGTAATCTGTCGCAGCCCTCTCGGGCTCAGCTCCGCCGCAGGGGCCCCCACCCAGTCTAGCCAGACGAGAGCTGTATATATATAACAGTACGCGGGGGGGGGCGAATACGCAAAAGACGTCATCAGGGGAAGAGGGAGAGTAGTATTCATATTGGGTAATTGTGGAGAAGGAGGAGGAGAAGGAGGAGGAGGGGGGAGGAGGAGGAGAAGGAGGAGGAGGAGGAGGAGGCTGAGCAGGAGGAGGGGGGAGGAGGGATTGAAGATGATAGGGAGGAGGGGGGAGGAGGGAGGAGGGGGGAGGAGGGAGGAGGAGGAGGAGGAAAGGAGGAGGAGGAGGAGGAGGAGGAGGAGGAGGAGGAGGAGGAGGAGGGAGGAGGAGGAGGGGAGGGAGGAGAGGGAGGAGGGAGGAGGGAGAGAGGAGGGAGGGAGGGAGGGGGGGGGAGGGAGTGAGGGAGGAGGGAGGGAGGGAGGGAGGAGGGAAGGAGGGAGGGAGGGAGGGAGGAGGAGGAGAAGGAAAAGGAGGAGGAGGAGGAGGAGGAGGAAGCGGAGGAGGAGGAGGGCACTCCGTAGCCATTTTGGCTCAAGCTGGGCGCGCGCTTTGGTTCAAGGGAGGCCCTCTGGCGAAAGCCTATCGGCCCTCCCTTCGCTCCGAGCGCTCGTGCCATGTCGGCTACGGGGGGCTGTCCGAGTTCGTGGCGGCCCTCATCCCAGCGTCAGTCGGACATCGAGTCTCTGGGAGCTCCCGCGGCGAAGAGGCTCGCTCGCCGCAGGCGTCGCGATGCCCTGGAGGCGTGGCTTCGGTCGCTGTCAGGTCCGTGCGAGCCTGGGCCCTGGCGCGATAGGGAGCAGGTTGCGCGACCTGCGCTGATCGCCGCCGCCGCCCAGCTCCGCGTCCCAGGCAGAGCGCGCAGGAGGCGCAACGCAGCGCTCCATGCGCGGCGCGTGCCGCCTCGCGGTTTCTGCACTGCGTCGGATGCCGAGCTGGCATGGGCTGCTGCTGGGGGGCGCCTCGGGCCGCCGCAGGCTGCCCATGCTGCCGCTGCTGTTCCTGCGTACGGGAATTCGTCCATGCGAGCCGGCGCCGATGTCTTCGTCCCGTCGGGGGCAGTGGCTGAGGGCGCAATTCCCGAGGTTCCTCCCGCCCCTGCCGCCGCCGCAGAGGGTATGAGATGCACGTGTGGGGCCATGGTCTTCCCGCTCGTCGTGTCGTCCTTGGAGCGGGAGGTCGCCGCTGTCCCCAATCGCGTCGCGGAGATCGGTTTGGCGGAGCCTATCGTCCTCAGCCCTCCCCCAGACCGTGTGGATGCTGCTGAGGAGACTCCGTCTTTCCGAGACGCTGTGGGAGCTGGTCTTGGCGCCGAAGCTGCTGAGCCCCTGCAGGGGGCGCTTGCCTGCGGAGCTGCGCCGCCGTTGGCAGCCTCCTGGGCTTGGGTGCCCACTGGCCTGCCGCCAGATCCAGGTGAAGGGTTGTCTTCGGCACCGCTTCCACATATCCTTGGACTGGGATGCCGAGGACTTCGCAGTCGATTGCTTCCGATCTATTCTCGCCTTGGCACGTCTGACACGAGCATGAGAGTGATGGAGATCCGATCGATTTTGTCGACTTCTGTTTTTAGGCTGTAGAGGGAGCGGCTTCGGTGGTATTCCTGCGGCTTGCGGGGGGCACGGCCTGGGGGATAGCGCGGGCTGTGCTGCCCCAGGTGACGCCACACACCTCTGTTCCCAGGGAGTGGCTTCGGTGGTCCCCCCTCGCGTTGAGGGGGGCACAGCCTGGGGGATAGTGCATAGCACCGTCCCAGGTGATGCCGCAAACCTGTCTGGAGCCCTGTCTGCGCATCCTGCTGTGGATATTATGCCACATTCTGGTTTTTCGCCCGCCTGGTGATTTGGTTGCAATTTCTTTAGGATTTTCCTGGGCAGGTGTACTCTGTCCGTGGTGTATGAGGCGGAATTGCGCGATGGGTGAGTTTAAGCCACAGTATACGGCCAACTTCTCTTGTTCGGGGTTCTTCGCGAGCCCTGCTTCTGCTTGGTCCTGCCTAGAGCAGTGGCACCAGGCAACGCAGCAGCAATTAGTGAGAGAGCCATGATCAGGCCTCGCGCAGCAGGAAGGGAATCCCTGGGGGCATTCAGGCTCCCAGTTGCGCCCTATCCCCCCTCACCTCTTCCTTCCTCCCTTGTCAATCTCAGTTCTTCTTCCTCTGCTCGCTCTCAGCTCTGAGGAGTCGTGTATACGTGGAGGGGGAGTGCTTACGCCACAGCACATGGCAACTTTCAGTTGTACGGTGCTCTCAGCGAGCCCTGCCATTCCTGGTCCTGCCCAGCGCAGTAGCACCAGGAAGTATAATACTATTCAGTGAGAGGGCCATCGCGATTAGGCCTCACGCAGCAGGAAGGGAATAACTGGGGGACCCAGGCTCCCTGTCGTGCCTTATCCCTTCTCACCGTTTCATTCCTCCCCTATTGCTCTCAGCGGGCCTGCCTCTTCCTGGTCCTGCCCAGCGAAGTGGCACCTGGAAATATAGCAGCAGCCAGTGAGAGGGCCATTTTGATCAGGCCTCACGCAGCAGAAATGAGGCGGGGGAGTCGTGCCGAGGGGGGGATCACGAGCTGGTAGGGGGCGGAGAAGTCGAGCGAAATGTCACGCTCCGCAAGCAGTGAGCGGTCGTCCCGCCAGGTTTTCCGCAAAGCCCGTTCAGGTCCCCAGCCCCGAAAAGAGGCCTGCTCCAAAAAAGAGGAGGGGGACAGGGGCACGAGGCCAAGTACGGCTTTTGATGATGTGGCGCCCCGTCATCCGCGCACTTTAAGAGCCGAGGAAGAGGCAACTCAGCTCCGCCAGCAGCTAGCCACGGCCAGGGCGGAAATCGCATCCAGGATCCCCCAGTCGGCAAGGTGGAGAT